CAAAATGGGGTTGCTAAAAGGATGAATAGAACTCTCTTAGAGAATGTGAGGGCTATATTGGTCACATCTGGGCTCTCTAAAAAGTTCTAGGGAGAAGCTGTTTCTACTGTGACCTATTTAATTAATAGGTCTCCTTTTGTTCCCTTCGGAGGGAAATGCTCTGAATTTGTGTTCACGGACAAACCTCTTAATTTAAATAATTTGAGAATTTTCGGGAGTGTTGGCTATGTGCATCAAAGGATTAATAAGTTAGAACCTAGAACTAAGAAATGTGTTTTCTTAGGATATCCTGAAGGGGTAAAAGGTTAAAGGCTTTGGAATAAGAGTTAACCAGGATTTAAGGTAGTGATAAGTAGAGATGTTGTTTTAACGAAAATGAATTTTCTTGTTTACCTTTACCTGCCCCTATTCCTGAAAATGATGCTCCAAATAAGGTGGAGCAAATGCCTATTATTAATCAACATGAATCACCTCCTAAAGAAAAATTGAATGATATAATTATTGAAAATCAAGATGAGATTATTCCTAATGAGGTGGAGCATGATATGCAGGAAATAGATAACATGCATGATTTGAATGATTATCAACTCACTAGGGATAGAAATAAAAGAACCATTAGGAAACCTGAAAGGTATAGAGAGTGCAATTTGACTGATTATAATATGTCTGAGTTTGCCTTTAATGTGTTTGAATCCCTTGAGTGCAATGAACCTAAGACTTATAGAGAAGCATTAAGGTCAAAATATTCTGAAGAATGAATTATTGCTATGAAGAGTGAGATGGAATCCCTAAGAATTAACCAAACATGGAAACTTGTTCCTAAACCTGCTAGTTGTTCTGTAGTGGACTGTAAGTGGTGGTTTAAGGTGAAACAAGAATCTTAAAGTGTTAGGTTTAAGGTTAGGTTAGTAGCTAAGGGATTTACTCAAAAGGAGAGAATTGATTATGCTGAAATTTTTGCTCCTGTTGTCAAATTCACTACTGTTAGAATTATTCTTGCTTTAGTTGCTCATTTTAATTGGGAATTAAAATAAATGGATGTAACTACTGCTTTCTTCCATTGTGATCTTGATAAAAATATTTATATGCACCAACGTGAGGGCTTTGTGGACTCTAAATTGCCTGATCATGTGTGTTTGTTAAAAAAGGCTTTGTATGGTTTAAAACAATCACCTAGGTAATGGAATATTAGATTTGATAAATGCATGTAATCTTTAAAGTTTAAAAGGAGTTTTGCTGATCATTGCATGTATTATAAGAATATAGTCTATGTGCTTGTATTTCTTTTAATTTATGTGGATGACATGTTGATTGTTAGTCCTTATTTGAAGTATATTGAGCATGTTCAAAAATGTCTTTGTGAAAATTTTGACATAAAAGACTTAGGCGATGCTAAAAGAATCCTAGGCATGAATATTATTAGGGACAAAAACAAATCTACTCTAGTTTTAAACCAAAGTTCATATGTCCAAAAACTTTTGAGTAAATTCGCTATGTCTGATGCAAAATCTGTGAATGTGCCTCTTGCTTCCCATTTTGTGTTAAGTAAGGATCAGTCCCCCAAGACTAAAACTAAAATAAATGATATGAAGAAGGTATCATATTCGAATGCTATAGGATCGGTCATGTATCTCATGGTTAGTACTAGGCCTGACATTGCATATACGGTTAGTTGCTTGAGTAGATATATGTCAACTCCTGGTATGCCTCATTGGAATGCCTTGAAATGACTTTTAAGATATTTAAAATCCTCTGTGGATGTAGGATTAACCTTCTCTAAGTGTTCTGAAGGTGTTAAACTAGTTGGCTATGTAGATTCCAATTACGCAAATGATAGAGATAATAGAAAATCTACCACTTCCTATCTGTTTACTTTGTGTGGCTCTTGCATAAGTTGGAAATCCTAACTACAACCCATTGTTGCTTTATCTAGTATTGAATCTGAGTAAGTTGCTGCCACTTAAGCTTTTAAAGAAACTATTTGGCTTAGGGGCCTTATATCTTTCTTGATAAAAATATGGTTGTATTTTCTGATAGTAATTCTGCTATTCAACTTTGTAAAAATCTTGTTTTTCATGATAGAACTAAACATATTGATGTTAGATTTCATTACATTCGGGATATAGTTGAAAAGAGCATTGTCAAGTTAGAGAAAATTCCCTCAGAATTTAATCCGGCTGACATGGGTACTAAGTGTTTGCCTGCTAAAAAATTTATCTCGTGTCAAAGAATCTTGAATTTTGATTTTGGGTAATTTTCCTTTGCTTTGTGTGTTGCCTTTGTGGCCTATTAACTTGCTCTGTGCTTGTTAGTAGCTTTGTGATTTTTTCCCTTTAAACTCGATGACTGTTTGGTAGAGTTCGGTCATTTGTGGACTTGGTATGCTTGGTGATCTTACCCAGATCTTTGTGATCTGAGTTTTCTTTGTGTATTCTCTTCCATTTCTTGTATCTTCTTTATGATCATACATGTAATGGTTTGACGATGATGAGTCTTGCAATTCCATATTTTTTCTCAGTGCACTATCTTAGGCCAAAGGTGAAGATTGTTACTATTTGTTAGCCCAAAGCTGCTGGCCCATTTGCTAAAGAGGCTCAGTTCCCACCTCTTTAGTTCCTTGCCCATCCCTTTGTCCTGTCCGCTGCCACTTTGAGTCCCATCTCCCATCCTTGTAGGTCTGCTCTTACCTTTCGAAACCCTAGCCTATCTCTCATTGTCGGCTACCCCCTCTCTATAAAATCGATGTAGCTCAGAGGAGAAGGGGAAGGCAGTAGCTCTGAAGAGTGCGACAGCGAAGGGAACCCGAGCTTTGTGCTCTGAAGCTTTGCGCGATCCTCTCCCCCTTCTGTGAGTTTTTCCCATCCATCGCTTTGTGCGATCCCTTCACCCTTTGTAAGTGATTGAAGAAGAAGAATAGTGGTCTCTTCTTGTGTCCTTGGTGGTGCAAATCTGAAAAACAGTGACTGAAGATTCAGGCTTCTGAGCCAAACATCGACGACACCCAAACTCTACAAAGCTCAATCAGACCCACTCCAAAGCACAAGCAAATCAGCTCAAGGAAGAAGTAATCGCTGCAATGATCTCCGAGGTCAACATGATAGGAAGCATATATAGTTTGAATGGGCAGTGGTTTACACGACGGCAAAGTAATTTCTAAGTTCTTCTCTATCTTCTTTGGTGATCGCCACTGACCTGTTCCGTATCTTTTTTCTACAACAACATCAAGAAATTGTCCCCATTTTTTTATTGTAGTCTTTCTTTTGTATAACTTTTTTATTGTAGTCTTTCTTTTGTATAACTTTCTGCAGAGAAGTTATACTATGGTTATATACATTCATCAGCCGATAAAAATAGAAGCCTTTTGCTAATTAAACTCTACAGGATAACCATTATAACTAGGATGATAACAATTGGAACGCTAGGAGCCAAACTTTCTTATTTCGGTAGCATTTATTTTGACTAGCTAGTGATATCGAAATTGAAAAGGCAAGGTGTCAACCTGTTTTTTACAAAAAAAAAATTTCAAATACATTTGGCTTACATTTATTTATGATCCATGATCTTTTCAGACAACCCAGCAAGTGAAACAAAATAAAAAAAGACTAATCTAATCACAAGAGACATTCAAACCCTCCATACACATTCAACTTCCTAAATCAACCCATCACTAATCTTAGTTAGTAGAATCACTAGAACGATTATAAAATTTACACAAGCCCGCAAACACGAGGAAGCTCATAAGGCTAAGCCAAGCCAAGAACCAGTAGTACTTGTCCAACCGAGCATCATTCATATCATCGGAGAACCAACTATTTCCTCTCCCGTTACTGCCAGTGAAAAACTCCACCGCTGAAATCAGAAATGCACTAAGGAAGCTCCCAACCCCAAACACGCTCAGACAGAGCGCTATGCCTATAGTTCTCATCGTTGCAGGCACTTGGGTATAGAAAAACTCTTGCATCCCCACAACCGTAAATACATCAGAGAACCCTAAAAGAATGTACTGAGGCAACAACCAGAAAATGCTCAATTCTACCTTCAATCCTTGCAATTGTAGTCTACTGATATGAAGCCTCTTCGTTTCGACAACTGCAGCTACGATCATAGCAAGAAAGGAGAGTACCATACCAATTCCCATTCTCTGAAGGACGCTGATCCCCTTCTCATTTCTAGTTATCAATCGTAGAATTGGGATTACGAGCTTGTCATACAGAGGCATCAACATTACAACCGAGAGAGTTATTGCGCTCTGAAACGCCGCGGGAGGAATCACGAAGGTTTTCCCAATTGTGTGCCCCATCGCCATCCCTTGCTTTGTGAAGAATGTTGGCGGTTGTTGAAAGATAACTGCAAACATCAGGAGTGTTATCCAAATAGGAAAAAGCCTCAGTATCACCTTAGCGACACTAACGGATTCGTCAGACGTCTCAGAATCTGTTTCGGTTATTTTTGACGCATCGAAGTCGTCCTTCAGAGGTTTCTCTTGCAACCTACAATATTCCATAAGTAAACATCAGAAAATAGATGAAGGTTGCTATCAAAAGCTAGCGTAGCTCAAACGACTTACTCTAGTTCGTGTAGATCATCTCTTCTCGCTGCTAGGCCGAGTTTGTTGGCGCTTAAGGCATTCTTCACAGAAATCTTTACAGCGTGGATGAAGTTTTCGTTCGGCTTATTACTAACATTGTGATGCTTCTTACGAACATAGAAACGAGTGCAGGCCAAGAAGCATAAGATCGATGAGATCATTGCGATTGTGGGGATTGTGAAGCCTAATCCCCAGCCTATCGTATCTTGGATGTAAGGCATAAGAGAGTTCCCCAAAAGGCTTCCACTGGCAATGCCAAAGTACCACCATTGAAAGAACAAGCTCTTCTTCTTGCTTTTCTGGTCCCCGGCCTCATCGCAGCAAGGAAGTTCATCATCCAACTGTAACTGATCTGCACCAAATGCTTGAAGAGATGGATTGTAGCCAGCTTGTCCTACAGAAATTAGGTAGAGAGGGAGGAACAAGGAGAAGATTGGCATCCATGAGAATAATACTGCCCATAACGTCAATCCCCCAAGTCCCTGGATTGACAACATGAAAAGATGAAGAAAAAAAATGTATCAGATGAGACCTATTTATTCTTCTTCCTTCTTCGAATAAATATTAACTAATTATAGCCTTTTTTTTGGGAAACTTTTAAAAAAGATTTGATATTATCTAATTTAAGGGTAAATTACACTAAACCTCCAATAGCTAACCTAATAACTTTTAAAATCACACTAAATCCCCAATAATTTAATTTTTAAACGCAATGTAAAAATTATCAATAAAAAAGGCAAAATTTTAGCACCAAGTTAATGATTTGTTGATTTAGGGATATTTTGTCATAGAGTTGATGATTTCGGCCGTAGTTTTGAAGATACAAAGATTTATGAGCTCTTTTTACAAATATCCATGATTTATAGGGTATCCATGCAATAACCCATTAAACAATTTTCACTTAACCTCCAAGTTTGAAACTATGACTTTTTGACCTTAAAAAATATAAAAATTACAAATATCCCTTAAAATTAAAAAAATCCCACTCAAATCCAAAAATTATGAATAACCCCCTAGAATATCTGAAAATAATATAAACCCCTACAAATATTAAATTGCAAAATATGCTCTGAAAAATCACATGAAATCATCTCCTTATGATTCAAAAATTACAAAATGATGCTAGAAAACTCAAAAAGTAACCCCAAAAAAATTGAAAATTATAAAAAAGATAAAAATCTGGAAACTGAAAAGTCGCTTGAAATTTTTGAAAATTGTAAACATCCCATTAAGATTAAAAAAGAGCGCTTTGAAAAATATGAAACTTAGAAAGAGCCCTCAAAAATTGAAAATTTACAAAAAAAAATCATAAAACTAAGAAGTTGTAAAAGCACCTAAAAAAATTGCAAACCATCTCTTCAGATGAAAATATCACAAACATGTTTATTTGTAAATTGTTTTTGCAATAAATTGTTTATAAATTTCATGTTATTCAGGGGTCCCTCTATAAATTTTAGAGTTTTAGGCGTGTTGTTTGAAGTTTTGAATTTTATGGGAGTGTTAGAAATTTTCATATTTTTCAATAGGATCTTGCAATTTCAGATTGTTTTGGGGTTTTTTGCAATTTTCTAATTTTTAAGGGGCTTATGTATTATTTTCGTATTTTAGGGGGATCTTTGTAATTTTTTAGAGGCTATTTGTAATTTTTTAGGGGTCTATTTGTAGTTTTTTGGGGTTGTCTGTAATTTTCAAATTTGAAATTGAAGTATGCAATTTTTTATTTTTGGGTGGAATTTTGCAATTTTAGTTTTTCCATGAGATTTTTTGTAATTCTTCATGGGGCCCCTTAGTACTTCTTTATTTGTTGGGCTGTTAATTCCTAAAGCTACTCGTTTTTTTAGATGATCCATCTTTCTTTGAAAACCTTTGGGCAAAAGTTTTATAATACTTCCAAACTTATTAGGGATTTGGTGAGAATTTTATAACTTATTGGGCCTAGTGTAATTTATCCTTAATTTAAGGGAGGCAATGACCTAAATAAAAATGAATAGAAGAATGGGAGTCATGTAGCGACACTTAGAATTTGAGATAAACACCTTGTAGTAATTTAAGTCTATGTAGACTTTCTGAATATCTTAGCATATTTTCTAGTATTCTCCAGCTATGAGGTTGGTTAAACCATTTATAGCTGCAAGACAAAACTATAACAAACCAATTCACGAACTTTTCAAGTTTGATTACATATATAAAATCTTTTCTATCAACAGAAACTAATAATTCTTTGGGTTCCCCTAAAAAATTTCTAGCTGTACATGTAAATGGCAACTTATTTTAAACTACTTATTCGATCTTCTCCTTTTATTCAAATGAAGAGCCACTAAATTCAGTCTGCAGTCTTGTGCTTATGAAATGCTTAGGCCTAGAATACTAATAATACGTACCAAGTCTAAAGTACGTATGAGCACCCAACTCCTAGAAATTCACGTCACAGTTTAGATTCTTACAGCAACATAGAGCAAAGAAGATGCAGCTATGGTTGAATATCGATCCCAGTAAGAATCTACGAGGACTGCACTTATGAGAGGAAACATCGACGTTGCTCCACTCCAACTGCTTACGGTCTTCGCAGCCGAAGACGTGCTCATCTTCACCTCCTCAGTGAGATAAGTCACCAAGTTAGAAGCCACTCCTTTATAAGCAAACCTCTCCACACCAGCAACAACTGCACAATTCAGAACAAATTAATTAGCTGATCGAAATCGAATAAGTATGATTATTGATCGATAATATAAAGATCTATAATTAGCACCTATGATGAGAATACACGACTTGCTAATAAGTCCTTTTGATGCCTTTCCTGCAACAGTCATCGAAGAGTTTGAGAGCGAGCGATAGATCGAAGAGGATCGGAATAGAGTAAGAAAGCAAGGGAGACGTACCTACATTATATATATGCCGAGTGTTTAGCCAAGATATATTGGCTTTGCACAAAAGTAGTTGATCGTACGTACAATATTAGCACATCCTGACCTCAAAAGGATTAGCACATCCTTTTGTGTTCCATTGTTGTGGATTTTGCTTAGTGGACTCTAATGGACCCTTAAAAGATAATTAATATATAGAAGTTAGTAAGTAATCAAGAAAATTGTAGGAGATGGGAATATAAGCTAGTGAGTTGGAGTTGGTCCTTTTCAAGTCCACCAAGGAGAGAAGGAGAGAGAAGTGTAACGTAGCATGACAATTTTGATAGAAGGCACGCATTGGGCCTGCACCCATTTCGACTAGTGTTGTCACTAGCAAAATAATGTGGTCACCAATAAAGAATCAACTTTGTGGGATAGATATGTGGAATTCCTTACGCTATCATTTTCTGTCTAGAGAGAAAAAAAAAAATCCTAGCCGAGTCCTTTTTCTATTACTGCTTTTAATTTATTCGATTCAACAAGCATGTGTGACCTAAACACTTCTAATTTCTTCTTTATCAAAATAAGATGTTGGTAGTAAATGATGTTAGTTATCTCCTTGCTCTGCTATCATTAATACTTCAATCCTAATGCTGGGTTTGGAGTTGGATTGGCTTAAATGGAACATCAGATTTCTAACTGGACTCCACCAAACTCATATCACACTTCTAATGTGACAAAACTCCATCATTTTCTATCAGGCTTTTGCACAGAAATATTAAAAGATCTATAAATCAGTTCTGAGGAATCCAAAAGTTAGCACTTCTTCGGTATATGAGACATCTGTATAGACATCTAAAGTGACAAGTTACTTTTAGGGGTGGCAAACGGTTCGGGTCGGGTCATAGTTGACCCAACTCATATAAGTGTGATCCGACCCGACCCGTATAAAAAATAGGTCAATGTGATCCGACCCGTTTATTAAACGTATTACCCGACCCGACCCATATTAACCCGAATAACCCAAAGTTTACACCATCTCAATAAAGTTTTCTTTTATTTATAACACTTTGATATCACAAAATATACATCTTTTTTAACGTTGATACTCTAGAATTAGCTAAATGTGTCATACAAATTAGTGAAATTTGAAACAATATATAGAGCGCATCAATGTGAAATTGAACTCAAAACTCTGGGTATCAGAGTGTTGAAAAGACACTTTCAGGTATCAAGATGGAGACTCATGGTATCAAAGTTTTAAAAAAACATTTACAGGGTATCAAGATGGATGGAGACTCTTGGTATCAAAGTTTAAAAAAAACATTTACAGGGTATCAAGATGGAGCGATGTGTAAACTCAAACTCTGGGTACAAAATAGAGAACAACAGCCACTAATTGAGCCCAGAATGAAAGCAAAGCAAAGCAGCAGATCCCTGTCTGCTTCTTTCCCTTTCTTAATTCTCCCGTGTGACATCACTCTAAAATTGTCCAAAAAAAGGGCCACCAACTAGAAAGCTACAGTAGCAGCAGCTCCACTTTACTGTATCAAAGTTTCACGGTGAGCTGTTCTCAGAAATAGGGCAAAAAGATTCAAAGAAGGAAGAAAGAGAACAGATCTCATCAGAGATCCCGCCCCCGTGCCCCCCCACCCCGACGGCCCGCCAGTAGCGCCCCATCGCTAAGAGGAAGCGTGGCCGCCTGCCCAAATCTCAGGCGGCGAAGACAACACTGTTTGCGTCGAAAATTAATGTATTCATTGCGGTATTCATTACAACTTCGATCGTTACAATGAAAACAAAAAAAGATTGTCTTTTTATAAGACTTTTACACAATGAAAACAAAAGTTTACAACTCTCGTCAAAACAAACGCAGAGGACGTTTATCACCCGCTGCTTTGCGTGGGATCTTTGCCTGTGCCGGGGTTTATCCGTGGACCGCCTTAGATCTGGATCCGGTTGATGGAAAATTAGGCAGAGTTTCGTCTTCGCCGAGGAAGTATTTGATTTGAAGCGCTGAGATCGACCAAGCGAAATCAGGGCTCTTCTCGAGATTAAGACCAAGCCTAATCTCAAGGGACGGACGGGAACGGGCGTCGGATCTCTCGAACTCTCCTTCTTTATGCCGAAGAACTCGCCAAGATCTGTCAACCCTCGCTGAAATTCGTGCTCCTTTGACTCCACAATCCGGCAGCACCTCCTCGTCTTGATAATCAATCGCCCCCGCTGAAAGGAGGCCCTAGGCTTGTATTTATAGGGCTTCGGAAGCGGTTATTTGGATGAGAACAAGTGATTTGGCTCTATCTTCAGTTAACAACAGCCTAACCACGTTTGGGGATGATATCAGGTCAGTTAGAAACCCCTGGAACCAACAAATCTCGAGAAAAACCATCCAAAACCGAACCGGGACGAAACAGTGCGCGCAGGACAAGTCTGACCCGCGCTTGCGCGGGTCGGCGCGATCCGACCCGCGCGAGCGCGGGTCGGACTTGGCCGACCCGCGCGGGCGCGGGTCGGACTTGGCCGACCCGCGCGGGCGCGGGTCG